TTAGTTAGTCACTTAGTCAGTCACTTAGTCACTTAGTTAGTCACTGTCACGATCACTCTACCTGGACGAGCTACAGCCTGCCTGGCCTACACCTGAGAAGGTCACTTAGTCAGTCACTTAGTTAGTCACTTAGTCACTTAGTCACTTAGTTAGTCACTGTCACGATCACTCTACCTGGACGAGCTACAGCCTGCCTGGCCTACACCTGAGAAGGTCACTTAGTCAGTCACTTAGTCAGTCACTTAGTCACTTAGTCACTTAGTTAGTCACTGTCACGATCACTCTACCTGGACGAGCTACAGCCTGCCTGGCCTACACCTGAGAAGGTAGTCACTTAGTCAGTCACTTAGTCAGTCACTGTCACGATCACTCTACCTGGACGAGCTACAGCCTGCCTGGCCTACACCTGAGAAGGTAGTCACTTAGTCACTTAGTCAGTCACTTAGTCAGTCACTTAGTTACTTAGTCAGTCACTGTCCACGATCACTCTACCTGGACGAGCTACAGCCTGCCTGGCCTACACATGAGAAGGTAGTCACTTAGTCAGTCACTTAGTCAGTCACTTAGTCACTTAGTTAGTCACTGTCACGATCACTCTACCTGGACGAGCTACAGCCTGCCTGGCCTACACCTGAGAAGGTCACTTAGTCAGTCACTTAGTCACTTAGTCAGTCACTGTCACGATCACTCTACCTGGACGAGCTACAGCCTGCCTGGCCTACACCTGAGAAGGTAGTCACTTAGTCAGTCACTTAGTTAGTCACTTAGTTAGTCACTTAGTCAGTCACTTAGTCACTTAGTTAGTCACTGTCACGATCACTCTACCTGGACGAGCTACAGCCTGCCTGGCCTACACCTGAGAAGGTAGTCACTTAGTCACTTAGTCAGTCACTTAGTCAGTCACTTAGTCACTTAGTCAGTCACTGTCACGATCACTCTACCTGGACGAGCTACAGCCTGCCTGGCCTACACCTGAGAAGGTAGTCACTTAGTCAGTTAGTTAGTCACTTAGTCAGTCACTTAGTCACTTAGTCAGTCACTGTCACGATCACTCTACCTGGACGAGCTACAGCCTGCCTGGCCTACACCTGAGAAGGTAGTCACTTAGTCAGTCACTTAGTTAGTCACTTAGTTAGTCACTTAGTCAGTCACTTAGTCACTTAGTTAGTCACTGTCACGATCACTCTACCTGGACGAGCTACAGTCTGCCTGGCCTACACCTGAGAAGGTAGTCACTTAGTCACTTAGTTAGTCACTGTCACGATCACTCTACCTGGACGAGCTACAGCCTGCCTGGCCTACACCTGAGAAGGTAGTCACTTAGTCACTTAGTCAGTCACTTAGTCAGTCACTTAGTCACTTAGTCAGTCACTGTCACGATCACTCTACCTGGACGAGCTACAGCCTGCCTGGCCTACACCTGAGAAGGTAGTCACTTAGTCAGTTAGTTAGTCACTTACTCACTAGTTAGTCACTTAGTCACTTAGTCAGTCAGTTAGTCACTTAGTCACTTAGTCAGTCACTTAGTCACTAGTTAGTCACTTAGTCACTTAGTCAGTCACTGTCACGATCACTCTACCTGGACGAGCTACAGCCTGCCTGGCCTACACCTGAGAAGGTCACTTAGTCAGTCACTTAGTCACTTAGTTAGTCACTGTCACGTTCACTCTACCTGGACGAGCTACAGCCTGCCTGGCCTACACCTGAGAAGGTAGTCACTTAGTCAGTCACTTAATCAGTCACTTAGTCAGTCACTTAGTCACTTAGTCAGTCACTGTCACGATCACTCTACCTGGACGAGCTACAGCCTGCCCGGCCTACACCTGAGAAGGTAGTCACTTAGTCACTTAGTTAGTCACTGTCACTTAGTCAGTCACTTAGTCAGTCAGTTCGTCACTTAGTCAGTCACTTAGTCACTAGTCAGTCACTTAGTCACTTAGTCAGTCACTGTCACGATCACTCTACCTGGACAAGCTACAGCCTGCCTGGCCTACACCTGAGAAGGTAGTCACTTAGTCACTTAGTTAGTCACTTAGTCAGTCACTTAGTCAGTCACTTAGTCAGTCACTTAGTCAGTCAGTTAGTCACTTAGTCAGTCACTTAGTCACTAGTTAGTCACTTAGTCACTTAGTCAGTCACTGTCACGATCACTCTACCTGGACGAGCTACAGCCTGCCTGGCCTACACCTGAGAAGGTAGTCACTTAGTCAGTCACTTAGTCACTTAGTCAGTCACTGTCACGTTCACTCTACCTGGACGAGCTACAGCCTGCCTGGCCTACACCTGAGAAGGTAGTCACTTAGTCAGTCACTTAGTCAGTCACTTAGTCAGTCACTTAGTCACTTAGTCAGTCACTGTCACGATCACTCTACCTGGACGAGCTACAGCCTGCCTGGCCTACACCTGAGAAGGTCACTTAGTCAGTCACTTAGTCACTTAGTCAGTCACTGTCACGATCACTCTACCTGGACGAGATACAGCCTGCCTGGCCTACACCTGAGAAGGTAGTCACTTAGTCAGTCACTTAGTCAGTCACTTAGTCAGTCACTTAGTCACTTAGTCACTTAGTCAGTCACTGTCACGATCACTCTACCTGGACGAGCTACAGCCTGCCTGGCCTACACCTGAGAAGGTAGTCACTTAGTCAGTCACTTAGTTAGTCACTTAGTTAGTCACTTAGTCAGTCACTTAGTCACTTAGTCAGTCACTGTCACGATCACTCTACCTGGACGAGCTACAGCCTGCCTGGCCTACACCTGAGAAGGTAGTCACTTAGTCACTTAGTTAGTCACTTAGTCAGTCACTTAGTCACTTAGTCAGTCACTGTCACGATCACTCTACCTGGACGAGCTACAGCCTGCCTGGCCTACACCTGAGAAGGTAGTCACTTAGTCAGTCACTTAGTTAGTCACTTAGTTAGTCACTTAGTCAGTCACTTAGTCACTTAGTTAGTCACTGTCACGATCACTCTACCTGGACGAGCTACAGCCTGCCTGGCCTACACCTGAGAAGGTAGTCACTTAGTCACTTAGTTAGTCACTGTCACGATCACTCTACCTGGACAAGCTACAGCCTGCCTGGCCTACACCTGAGAAGGTAGTCACTTAGTCACTTAGTCAGTCACTTAGTCAGTCACTTAGTCACTTAGTCAGTCACTGTCACGATCACTCTACCTGGACGAGCTACAGCCTGCCTGGCCTACACCTGAGAAGGTCACTTAGTCAGTCACTTAGTTAGTCACTTAGTCAGTCACTTAGTTAGTCACTTAGTTAGTCACTTAGTCAGTCACTTAGTCAGTCACTTAGTCAGTCACTTAGTCACTTAGTCAGTCACTTAGTCAGTCACTTAGTCAGTCACTTAGTCACTTAGTTAGTCACTGTCACGATCACTCTACCTGGACGAGCTACAGCCTGCCTGGCCTACACCTGAGAAGGTAGTCACTTAGTCAGTCACTTAGTTAGTCACTTAGTTAGTCACTTAGTCAATCACTTAGTCACTTAGTCACTGTCACGATCACTCTACCTGGACGAGCTACAGCCTGCCTGGCCTACACCTGAGAAGGTAGTCACTTAGTCAGTCACTTAGTTAGTCACTTAGTTAGTCACTTAGTCAGTCACTTAGTCACTTAGTTAGTCACTGTCACGATCACTCTACCTGGACGAGCTACAGCCTGCCTGGCCTACACCTGAGAAGGTCACTTAGTCAGTCACTTAGTCAGTCACTTAGTCAGGCACTGTCACGATCACTCTACCTGGACGAGCTACAGCCTGCCTGGCCTACACCTGAGAAGGTAGTCACTTAGTCACTTAGTTAGTCACTTAGTCAGTCACTTAGTCACTTAGTCAGTCACTGTCACGATCACTCTACCTGGACGAGCTACAGCCTGCCTGGCCTACACCTGAGAAGGTCACTTAGTCAGTCACTTAGTCACTTAGTCAGTCACTGTCACGATCACTCTACCTGGACGAGCTACAGCCTGCCTGGCCTACACCTGAGAAGGTAGTCACTTAGTCAGTCACTTAGTTAGTCACTTAGTTAGTCACTTAGTCAGTCACTTAGTCACTTAGTTAGTCACTGTCACGATCACTCTACCTGGACGAGCTACAGCCTGCCTGGCCTACACCTGAGAAGGTAGTCACTTAGTCACTTAGTCAGTCACTTAGTCAGTCACTTAGTCACTTAGTCAGTCACTGTCACGATCACTCTACCTGGACGAGCTACAGCCTGCCTGGCCTACACCTGAGAAGGTAGTCACTTAGTCAGTTAGTTAGTCACTTAGTCAGTCACTTAGTCACTTAGTCAGTCACTGTCACGATCACTCTACCTGGACGAGCTACAGCCTGCCTGGCCTACACCTGAGAAGGTAGTCACTTAGTCAGTCACTTAGTTAGTCACTTAGTTAGTCACTTAGTCAGTCACTTAGTCACTTAGTTAGTCACTGTCACGATCACTCTACCTGGACGAGCTACAGTCTGCCTGGCCTACACCTGAGAAGGTAGTCACTTAGTCACTTAGTTAGTCACTGTCACGATCACTCTACCTGGACGAGCTACAGCCTGCCTGGCCTACACCTGAGAAGGTAGTCACTTAGTCACTTAGTCAGTCACTTAGTCAGTCACTTAGTCACTTAGTCAGTCACTGTCACGATCACTCTACCTGGACGAGCTACAGCCTGCCTGGCCTACACCTGAGAAGGTAGTCACTTAGTCAGTTAGTTAGTCACTTACTCACTAGTTAGTCACTTAGTCACTTAGTCAGTCAGTTAGTCACTTAGTCACTTAGTCAGTCACTTAGTCACTAGTTAGTCACTTAGTCACTTAGTCAGTCACTGTCACGATCACTCTACCTGGACGAGCTACAGCCTGCCTGGCCTACACCTGAGAAGGTCACTTAGTCAGTCACTTAGTCACTTAGTTAGTCACTGTCACGTTCACTCTACCTGGACGAGCTACAGCCTGCCTGGCCTACACCTGAGAAGGTAGTCACTTAGTCAGTCACTTAATCAGTCACTTAGTCAGTCACTTAGTCACTTAGTCAGTCACTGTCACGATCACTCTACCTGGACGAGCTACAGCCTGCCCGGCCTACACCTGAGAAGGTAGTCACTTAGTCACTTAGTTAGTCACTGTCACTTAGTCAGTCACTTAGTCAGTCAGTTCGTCACTTAGTCAGTCACTTAGTCACTAGTCAGTCACTTAGTCACTTAGTCAGTCACTGTCACGATCACTCTACCTGGACAAGCTACAGCCTGCCTGGCCTACACCTGAGAAGGTAGTCACTTAGTCACTTAGTTAGTCACTTAGTCAGTCACTTAGTCAGTCACTTAGTCAGTCACTTAGTCAGTCAGTTAGTCACTTAGTCAGTCACTTAGTCACTAGTTAGTCACTTAGTCACTTAGTCAGTCACTGTCACGATCACTCTACCTGGACGAGCTACAGCCTGCCTGGCCTACACCTGAGAAGGTAGTCACTTAGTCAGTCACTTAGTCACTTAGTCAGTCACTGTCACGTTCACTCTACCTGGACGAGCTACAGCCTGCCTGGCCTACACCTGAGAAGGTAGTCACTTAGTCAGTCACTTAGTCAGTCACTTAGTCAGTCACTTAGTCACTTAGTCAGTCACTGTCACGATCACTCTACCTGGACGAGCTACAGCCTGCCTGGCCTACACCTGAGAAGGTCACTTAGTCAGTCACTTAGTCACTTAGTCAGTCACTGTCACGATCACTCTACCTGGACGAGATACAGCCTGCCTGGCCTACACCTGAGAAGGTAGTCACTTAGTCAGTCACTTAGTCAGTCACTTAGTCAGTCACTTAGTCACTTAGTCACTTAGTCAGTCACTGTCACGATCACTCTACCTGGACGAGCTACAGCCTGCCTGGCCTACACCTGAGAAGGTAGTCACTTAGTCAGTCACTTAGTTAGTCACTTAGTTAGTCACTTAGTCAGTCACTTAGTCACTTAGTCAGTCACTGTCACGATCACTCTACCTGGACGAGCTACAGCCTGCCTGGCCTACACCTGAGAAGGTAGTCACTTAGTCACTTAGTTAGTCACTTAGTCAGTCACTTAGTCACTTAGTCAGTCACTGTCACGATCACTCTACCTGGACGAGCTACAGCCTGCCTGGCCTACACCTGAGAAGGTAGTCACTTAGTCAGTCACTTAGTTAGTCACTTAGTTAGTCACTTAGTCAGTCACTTAGTCACTTAGTTAGTCACTGTCACGATCACTCTACCTGGATGAGCTACAGCCTGCCTGGCCTACACTGAGAAGGTAGTCACTTAGTCACTTAGTTAGTCACTGTCACGATCACTCTACCTGGACAAGCTACAGCCTGCCTGGCCTACACCTGAGAAGGTAGTCACTTAGTCACTTAGTCAGTCACTTAGTTAGTCACTTAGTCAGTCACTGTCACGATCACTCTACCTGGACGAGCTACAGCCTGCCTGGCCTACACCTGAGAAGGTCACTTAGTCAGTCACTTAGTCAGTCACTTAGTCAGTCACTTAGTTAGTCACTTAGTTAGTCACTTAGTCAGTCACTTAGTCAGTCACTTAGTCAGTCACTTAGTCACTTAGTCAGTCACTTAGTCAGTCACTTAGTCAGTCACTTAGTCACTTAGTTAGTCACTGTCACGATCACTCTACCTGGACGAGCTACAGCCTGCCTGGCCTACACCTGAGAAGGTAGTCACTTAGTCAGTCACTTAGTTAGTCACTTAGTTAGTCACTTAGTCAATCACTTAGTCACTTAGTCACTGTCACGATCACTCTACCTGGACGAGCTACAGCCTGCCTGGCCTACACCTGAGAAGGTAGTCACTTAGTCAGTCACTTAGTCAGTCACTTAGTTAGTCACTTAGTCAGTCACTTAGTCACTTAGTTAGTCACTGTCACGATCACTCTACCTGGACGAGCTACAGCCTGCCTGGCCTACACCTGAGAAGGTCACTTAGTCAGTCACTTAGTCAGTCACTTAGTCAGGCACTGTCACGATCACTCTACCTGGACGAGCTACAGCCTGCCTGGCCTACACCTGAGAAGGTAGTCACTTAGTCACTTAGTTAGTCACTTAGTCAGTCACTTAGTCACTTAGTCAGTCACTGTCACGATCACTCTACCTGGACGAGCTACAGCCTGCCTGGCCTACACCTGAGAAGGTAGTCACTTAGTCAGTCACTTAGTTAGTCACTTAGTCAGTCACTTAGTTAGTCACTTAGTTAGTCACTTAGTTAGTCACTTAGTTAGTCACTTAGTCAGTCACTTAGTCACTTAGTTAGTCACTGTCACGATCACTCTACCTGGACGAGCTACAGCCTGCCTGGCCTACACCTGAGAAGGTCACTTAGTCAGTCACTTAGTCACTTAGTCACTTAGTTAGTCACTGTCACGATCACTCTACCTGGACGAGCTACAGCCTGCCTGGCCTACACCTGAGAAGGTAGTCACTTAGTCAGTCACTTAGTCAGTCACTGTCACGATCACTCTACCTGGACGAGCTACAGCCTGCCTGGCCTACACCTGAGAAGGTAGTCACTTAGTCACTTAGTCAGTCACTTAGTCAGTCACTTAGTTACTTAGTCAGTCACTGTCACGATCACTCTACCTGGACGAGCTACAGCCTGCCTGGCCTACACATGAGAAGGTAGTCACTTAGTCAGTCACTTAGTCAGTCACTTAGTCACTTAGTTAGTCACTGTCACGATCACTCTACCTGGACGAGCTACAGCCTGCCTGGCCTACACCTGAGAAGGTCACTTAGTCAGTCACTTAGTCACTTAGTCAGTCACTGTCACGATCACTCTACCTGGACGAGCTACAGCCTGCCTGGCCTACACCTGAGAAGGTAGTCACTTAGTCAGTCACTTAGTTAGTCACTTAGTTAGTCACTTAGTCAGTCACTTAGTCACTTAGTTAGTCACTGTCACGATCACTCTACCTGGACGAGCTACAGCCTGCCTGGCCTACACCTGAGAAGGTAGTCACTTAGTCACTTAGTCAGTCACTTAGTCAGTCACTTAGTCACTTAGTCAGTCACTGTCACGATCACTCTACCTGGACGAGCTACAGCCTGCCTGGCCTACACCTGAGAAGGTAGTCACTTAGTCAGTTAGTTAGTCACTTAGTCAGTCACTTAGTCACTTAGTCAGTCACTGTCACGATCACTCTACCTGGACGAGCTACAGCCTGCCTGGCCTACACCTGAGAAGGTAGTCACTTAGTCAGTCACTTAGTTAGTCACTTAGTTAGTCACTTAGTCAGTCACTTAGTCACTTAGTTAGTCACTGTCACGATCACTCTACCTGGACGAGCTACAGTCTGCCTGGCCTACACCTGAGAAGGTAGTCACTTAGTCACTTAGTTAGTCACTGTCACGATCACTCTACCTGGACGAGCTACAGCCTGCCTGGCCTACACCTGAGAAGGTAGTCACTTAGTCACTTAGTCAGTCACTTAGTCAGTCACTTAGTCACTTAGTCAGTCACTGTCACGATCACTCTACCTGGACGAGCTACAGCCTGCCTGGCCTACACCTGAGAAGGTAGTCACTTAGTCAGTTAGTTAGTCACTTACTCACTCAATTAGTCACTTAGTCACTTAGTCAGTCACTTAGTCACTTAGTCACTTAGTCAGTCACTTAGTCACTTAATCAGTCACTTAGTCACTTAGTCAGTCACTGTCACGATCACTCTACCTGGACGAGCTACAGCCTGCCTGGCCTACACCTGAGAAGGTCACTTAGTCAGTCACTTAGTCACTTAGTTAGTCACTGTCACGTTCACTCTACCTGGACGAGCTACAGCCTGCCTGGCCTACACCTGAGAAGGTAGTCACTTAGTCAGTCACTTAATCAGTCACTTAGTCAGTCACTTAGTCACTTAGTCAGTCACTGTCACGATCACTCTACCTGGACGAGCTACAGCCTGCCCGGCCTACACCTGAGAAGGTAGTCACATAGTCACTTAGTTAGTCACTGTCACTTAGTCAGTCACTTAGTCAGTCAGTTCGTCACTTAGTCAGTCACTTAGTCACTAGTCAGTCACTTAGTCACTTAGTCAGTCACTGTCACGATCACTCTACCTGGACAAGCTACAGCCTGCCTGGCCTACACCTGAGAAGGTAGTCACTTAGTCACTTAGTCAGTCACTTAGTCAGTCACTTAGTCAGTCACTTAGTCAGTCACTTAGTCAGTCACTTAGTCACTTAGTCAGTCACTTAGTCACTTTGTTAGTCAGTCACTTAGTCACTTAGTCAGTCACTGTCACGATCACTCTACCTGGACGAGCTACAGCCTGCCTGGCCTACACCTGAGAAGGTAGTCACTTAGTCAGTCACTTAGTCACTTAGTCAGTCACTGTCACGTTCACTCTACCTGGACGAGCTACAGCCTGCCTGGCCTACACCTGAGAAGGTAGTCACTTAGTCAGTCACTTAGTCAGTCACTTAGTCAGTCACTTAGTCACTTAGTCAGTCACTGTCACGATCACTCTACCTGGACGAGCTACAGCCTGCCTGGCCTACACCTGAGAAGGTCACTTAGTCAGTCACTTAGTCACTTAGTCAGTCACTGTCACGATCACTCTACCTGGACGAGATACAGCCTGCCTGGCCTACACCTGAGAAGGTAGTCACTTAGTCAGTCACTTAGTCAGTCACTTAGTCAGTCACTTAGTCACTTAGTCACTTAGTCAGTCACTGTCACGATCACTCTACCTGGACGAGCTACAGCCTGCCTGGCCTACACCTGAGAAGGTAGTCACTTAGTCAGTCACTTAGTCAGTCACTTAGTCAGTCACTTAGTCAGTCACTTAGTTAGTCACTTAGTCAGTCACTGTCACGATCACTCTACCTGGACGAGCTACAGCCTGCCTGGCCTACACCTGAGAAGGTAGTCACTTAGTCACTTAGTTAGTCACTTAGTCAGTCACTTAGTCAGTCACTTAGTCAGTCACTGTCACGATCACTCTACCTGGACGAGCTACAGCCTGCCTGGCCTACACCTGAGAAGGTAGTCACTTAGTCAGTCACTTAGTTAGTCACTTAGTTAGTCACTTAGTCAGTCACTTAGTCACTTAGTTAGTCACTGTCACGATCACTCTACCTGGACGAGCTACAGCCTGCCTGGCCTACACCTGAGAAGGTAGTCACTTAGTCACTTAGTTAGTCACTGTCACGATCACTCTACCTGGACAAGCTACAGCCTGCCTGGCCTACACCTGAGAAGGTAGTCACTTAGTCACTTAGTCAGTCACTTAGTCAGTCACTTAGTCACTTAGTCAGTCACTGTCACGATCACTCTACCTGGACGAGCTACAGCCTGCCTGGCCTACACCTGAGAAGGTAGTCACTTAGTCAGTTAGTTAGTCACTTACTCACTAGTTAGTCACTTAGTCACTTAGTCAGTCAGTTAGTCACTTAGTCACTTAGTCAGTCACTTAGTCACTAGTTAGTCACTTAGTCACTTAGTCAGTCACTGTCACGATCACTCTACCTGGACGAGCTACAGCCTGCCTGGCCTACACCTGAGAAGGTCACTTATTCAGTCACTTAGTCACTTAGTTAGTCACTGTCACGTTCACTCTACCTGGACGAGCTACAGCCTGCCTGGCCTACACCTGAGAAGGTCACTTAGTCAGTCACTTAGTCACTTAGTTAGTCACTGTCACGATCACTCTACCTGGACGAGCTACAGCCTGCCTGGCCTACACCTGAGAAGGTAGTCACTTAGTCAGTCACTTAGTCACTTAGTCAGTCACTTAGTCACTTAGTCACTTAGTTAGTCACTGTCACGATCACTCTACCTGGACGAGCTATAGCCTGCCTGGCCTACACCTGAGAAGGTCACTTAGTCAGTCACTTAGTCACTTAGTCACTGTCACGTTCACTCTACCTGGACGAGCTACAGCCTGCCTGGCCTACACCTGAGAAGGTCACTTAGTCAGTCACTTAGTCACTTAGTTAGTCACTGTCACGATCACTCTACCTGGACGAGCTACAGCCTGCCTGGCCTACACCTGAGAAGGTCACTTAGTCAGTCACTTAGTCACTTAGTTAGTCACTGTCACGATCACTCTACCTGGACGAGCTATAGCCTGCCTGGCCTACACCTGAGAAGGTCACTTAGTCAGTCACTTAGTCACTTAGTCACTGTCACGTTCACTCTACCTGGACGAGCTACAGCCTGCCTGGCCTACACCTGAGAAGGTCACTTAGTCAGTCACTTAGTCACTTAGTTAGTCACTGTCACGTTCACTCTACCTGGACGAGCTACAGCCTCTTCTTTGGTTCTTTCGGTAAAGTCACGTAGAATGAGAATAAAATAATAAATTGATAAAATAAAATAACACAATAATATTCTCACGACGTTTCGGCCACAACACAAGCGGCCTTCATCAGGTGAAGGGAGCGAGACTGTCTGGTAGGACAGCGCTGGAGTGAGAGAGCCACGTTCAGATCACGGCTTTTAAGCTGTGTGAGAGGAACAAAGAGCCTTGACGAAGGAATTAGCATAAAATTTAGCATTGAAAAGGCTGAATGATTAACTTGTGACTGGTCACAGAAATAGCTATGTTAAAAGTTAAAGCATACACATCCGCAGAGGCACCCATTGTTAAAAGGAATTAGCATAGAATTTAGCATTGAAATAGCTAAATTAAGGCATTCGCTTGTAACTGCTACAGAAATAGTTACGTTGAAGTCAGAGCATACACATTCACCGAGGCACTTAGTACCAATCAAAACAGGAGAATTTAGCATTGAAATAACTAGGCGAATTTAGCATTGAAATAACTGGGTGATTTGCTAGTGACTGATCACAGAAATGACTACAAATCTGAGCTATTCACAGTACTATATAGTGAACCAATAAAAACTAAAATATAAATTACCTTCATGTTATCAATAAACTCTATATTCTCCAATCAGCTAAGCTACCAACCATAAGTCGTTATATATCACAATGCTATATGGCGAAAAAATGGGTGGATTCTTACCCTCAAATTTCCGTACCACGGATAGCTACGGGCCCCGTTCAGACGGACGAGTTCGTCCATGGTCGGAACAGAGGAGGGGGAGAGAGACAGCTGCGAAGCCCTAGTATACTCCATGTTGTAAACCATACCATTAACCGTGGTGTGAGAGGTATTAAGAGGCAATGCTGGCGAAAGAGCTGCGGTCTGAAGGTCATCGTAAAATTACAATGAATTAAGAACAGAAATGATTTAACACATCTTTCCAGTGGTTACTAAGCCTGAATCCATCTTCTCGGTTGAAATTGTCTCTGTGCTTGTATATGTGAATGGCCTCATGAACGAATCTCTCATGGTAGCCAGTTGTTGTTGTGATTGTTGTTGTGATTGTTGTTGTTGTGGTTGTTGTTGTTGTGATTGTTGTTGTGATTGTTGTTGTTGTGGTTGATTGTTGTTGTGATTGTTGTTGTGATTGTTGTTGTGATTGTTGTTGTTGTGGTTGTTGTTGTTGTGATTGTTGTTGTGGTAGTTGTTGTGATTGTTGTTGTTGTGATTGTTGTTGTTGATGTTGTTGTTGTTGTTGTGGTAGTTGTTGTTGATGTTGTTGATGTTGTTGTTGATGTTGTTGTGGTAGTTGTGGTAGTTGTTGTTGTTGATGATGTTGTTGTTGTTGTGGTAGTTGTGGGACTGGGACGTGTGGATGATGATGTTGTTGTTGATGATGTTGTTGTTGATGATGTTGTTGTTGATTGTTGTTGTTGTGGTAGTTGTGGGACTGGGACGTGTGGATGATGATGTTGTTGTTGATGATGTTGTGATTGTTGATGTTGTTGATGTTGTTGTTGTGGTAGTTGTGGTAGTTGTTGATGATGTTGATGATGTTGTTGTTGTTGTTGTGGTAGTTGTTGTTGTTGTTGTTGATGATGATGTTGTTGTTGTTGTTGTGGTAGTTGTTGTTGATGATGTTGTTGTTGTGGTAGTTGTTGTTGTTGTTGATGATGATGTTGTTGTTGTTGTGGTTGTTGTTGTTGTTGTTGATGATGTTGTTGTTGTGGTTGTTGTTGTTGTTCATGTTGTTGTTGTTGTTGATGATGTTGTAGTTGTTGATGTTGTTGTTGTTGTTGTGGTTGTTGTTGTTGTTGATGATGTTGTAGTTGTTGATGTTGTTGTTGATGATGTTGTTGATGTTGATGTTGTTGTTGTTGTTGTGGTAGTTGTGGGACTGGGACGTGTGGATGAGGATGCCTCAGCAACGGCAGGGACGTGAATGTGTCATCCCTGACGTGTCACGGACATTCCACTTCGGGTCCCTCGGAGTCAACATGAACGCATTCTTCCAGGTACGCAAGCTAGCCACTCAGCTACCCACTCAGCTAGCCACTCAGCTACCCACTCAGCTACCCACTCAGCTAGCCACTCAGCTACCCACTCAGCTACCCACTCAGCTAGCCACTCAGCTACCCACTCAGCTACCCACTCAGCTACCCACTCAGCTACCCACTCAGCTACCCACTCAGCTACCCACTCAACTACCCACTCACTCAGCTACCCACTCAGCTACCCACTCAGCTACCCACTCAGCTACCCACTCACTCAGCTACCCTCTCAGCTACCCACTCAGCTACCCACTCAGCTACCCACTCACTCAGCTACCCACTCACTCAGCTACCCACTCAGCTACCCACTCAGCTACCCACTCAGCTACCCACTCAGCTACCCACTCACTCAGCTACCCACTCAGCTACTCACTCAGCTACCCACTCAGCTACCCATTCAGCTACCCACTTAGCTACTCACTCAGCTACTCACTCAGCTACCCACTCAGCTACCCACTCAGCTACCCACTCAGCTACTAACTCAGCTACCCACTCAGCTACCCACTTAGCTACCCACTCAGCTACTCACTCAGCTACCCACTTAGCTACCCACTCAGCTACTCACTCAGCTACCCACTCAGCTACCCACTCGGCTACTCACTCAGCTACCCACTCACTCAGCTGCCCACTCACTCAGCTACCCGCTCAGCTACCCGCTCAGCTACCCACTCAGCTACCCACTCAGCTACCCACTCAGCTACCCACTCAGCTACCCACTCAGCTACTCACTCAGCTACCCACTCAGCTACCCACTCAGCTACCCACTCAGCTACCCACTTAGCTACTCACTCAGCTACTCACTCAGCTACCCACTCAGCTACCCACTCAGCTACCCACTCAGCTACCCACTCACTCAGCTACTCACTCAGCTACCCACTCAGCAACTCACTCAGCCACCCACTCAGCTACTCACTCAGCTACTCACTCAGCTACTCACTCAGCTACCCACTCAGCTACCCACTCAGCTACCCACTCAGCTACTCACTCAGCTCCTCACTCAGCTACTCACTCACTCAGCTACACACTCAGCTACTCGCTCACTCAGCTACATACTCCGTTACCCACTCAGCTACTCACTCAGCTACTCACTCACTCAGCTACCCACTCACACAGCTACTCACTCAGCTACCCACTCACCTACCCACTCACTCAGCTACTCACTCAGCTACTCACTCAGCTACCCACTCAGCTACTCACTCAGCTACCCACTCACCTACCCACTCACCTACCCAGTCACTCAGCTACCCACTCAGCTACCCACTCAGCTACCCACCCAGCTACCCACTCAGCTACCCACTCAGCTACTCACCCAGCTACCCACTCAGCTACTCACTCAGCTACCCACTTACTCAGCTACCCACTCAGCTACCCACTCAGCCACCCACTCACTCAGCTACTCACTCAGCTACTCACTCAGCTACCCACCCAGCTACCCATTCAGCTACCCACTCACTCAGCTACTCACTCAGCTACCCACTCAGCTACCCACTCAGCTACACACTCAGCTACTCACTCAGCTACTCACTCAGCTACCCACTCAGCTACCCACTCAGCTACTCACCCAGCTACCCACTCACCCAGCCACCCACTCAGCTACCCACTCAGCTACTCACTCACTCAGCTACTCACTCAGCTACCCACCCAGCTACCC